TGATTCACTTAGCAACCCTGTAACTAACTTAACAATTGTAATGATTCACTTAGCAACAGTGAGTTTAAATTTAAGTTTAAGTTTATTGATCTTGTATGCTGCCCACTCCCGAAGGACTCCGTGCGGCTCACAATAAACAAGGGAAGGGGATAAATAAACAAGACAACACCTTAAAATATGGAATATTCACAGTTATTGTGGGGCTGGATATTTCATAAGCCCCCCGGCCTGCTGGAGCAGCCAGGACTTGGTGGCTTTGCGGAAGGCCGGGAGGGTAGTAAGGGTCCGGATCTCCATGGGGAGGTCGTTCCACAGGGCTGGAGCAGTGGCAAGTAAAACTCATTTAACAAATGTTTCACTTAGCAACATAAAGTTTCGGCTCAATTGTGTTCATAAGTTGAAGACTACCTATACTGATATCCTTTAGCGTCTCTTCCTGCAATGGAACCTGCAATAATATCCCTGAGCTTTAAGCAAACCTAGAATTGCCTAAAGACTTCTATTTAAGAATTAATCTTTAGATTCACCAATATGAAAATCTGGGTACAGTCCTCACTTAACAATGGGAGTTGGGACCTGATTTTCTGTTGCTAAGTGGTTGTAAAGTGTGCCATGTGACCTCCCCACTTAGTGACAGCAATCCTGGCAATCCCCATTGCCATCATAGGATTCTGACTTGGAACTTGCTGTTGACATCCAACAAGCAAAGGTGGTGGGAATCCAGCAGGAAGTCTAGGCGATTCACAAGCAGGTCGGCAGGCCAGTGAATGCAGAGAGGTGCTTCAGCGGTCTAAGAGAGTGTGCAGGCAACTGTGGCCATCATGTTGGGGGTGCTGTAGTCTGGTGCATGCATACGTGCTATGGAGTGTGGGCAGGTGGTTGCAGCAGGTGGGTGTCTGCTACAGAGTACAAGATTGCTGGAAGGTAACTTTATGGGAAATTTGGCAGCTCTTGTCTGTCTGTTAGTAACACTGACAGTGTATTTAGCAAGAAGATAAAACAGTAGCCAGTTACAATGCACTGTATGTATTGAATGTAACTATGTATTACTGGAGAATTGATTATAGACTTATGATAAGATTTCAGAGAAAAGCTATTCCTCTCGTCTTTTCATTTCATTGTGGAGTGTTTCTAAAGAATCTTAATTTTTGAAGGGCAACTCAGAGACATGTGAAGTGAAATCAGTGGAACAATAAGCTGAATCCATGATGTTAATCATACATTTACACACATTTCATTTTACTACAGTTTATAAATGTTTGTAAAAACAGCCATCTTGTTTATAATGCTCTGAACAATTAAACAAAAGTTAGTCAAATCAGCTGCAGGATAAATGAGGTTGCCAGACATTTTCACTTTCTACAAAGAAATAATGTATATAAACATAATTTTATTTTCCTCCTTGAATTGTGCATTTGAAGGTTTTTAAAATGACCTTATGCAGTCCAATATTTCAGGGATTGTAGTTCTAAATAGCATGAGTTAAACTTTTCTTTTAGAGTTATAAGAGTTGAAAAGAGCTTAAGCCACTTCTCTTTGGAGAAAATGGAACAGTGAAATTGAAAAGAAAAAAGAAAAAAACGAGACGTGAATTCTCATTAGAGTCTTCTGAATATTGAATATTGCTATTTTTGCTTATGTTATGCTCTTTCATTCCTAAATTAGGCTGGAGGATATTGAGTAGGCACTCATTTTAGTCCTAGTACTCTTAGAATTAATCATTTTCATATTCACCATGATAAAAGTTACTTCTACCATAGGAAAGGCTAGGAAAAAAATATGCAGACCTAAAATGCAAATGATGGTGACTGCAGTACTTTGAAATTTATAGCTATTGCGGTTAAGCTCTCCAAAGAATGAAAATAAAGTGTCTGAATTATTTTTTTAAAAAAAAATACATATCAAGCGCTTAAAATGTAAATGAAAAAATACAACAGAGAAAAATTAAAATATAGACTATGTAGTCACAATATATTCTTTTGTTTAAGGTTGTTATATTTTGTAGAAATGAGTCCCATATTTCATTATGTGAGTGTCTTCAATCCATTCAGCAACTGGGCCATACTTTCATCTTTCCAATATTGTAGTGTCAGTCTTTTAGCTATAGTAAGAGGATGCAGAATCCCTTACTAGTCTAACTACTTTCTTTTAGTAAGTATAGGACGTTGTAAAACGTATGTTTTAAAGACACATTGTCTTTATTATATCCCCAACAGAATGGTGTCCTGGACAATCCTTTCCTGTACTGAAGTAATGGAGCCCAATAAATTCTAAATATTATCTTTTGTGGTATATTTCATCATTGAAGATCCATTGATACTCTTTATGCCACTCAGCCCTCAACATTTGCACATAATATTGATTGATGGAGAACAAATATCTGTAAAAACCTATTACAGGTAGTCCTCGACTTATGACTGCTCCCATAAAAGAACAAAGAAAGCTATATGTATTTTTGTATTTTGTTCCTTTTGTTTTTTGTTTTTATCTGCTGTTACTTTAAAAGCAACAAGAAATTAAAGTCTGAATTATTCCTTCTGGAACTAATTTGGATCAGCAAAATTACTGATATTTTAAAATAGGCCCAACTCTGTTTTATCCCTTCAAATGCCTATTTCAGGCATTCCTATATAATACATAGCACCCAGATAATATCTTTCTTTGTGCTGGAACTATCTGTTTCCTATTCAGGTTGCCCTGGTGAAAATGGCTGAATATGCTAGAAGGTGGCAGTGCCAAAAATATATGTGTATAGTTTCATACATATGTTACAATGTATATAACTAAAGGCAGCCAACAAGACGTAAAGCCGAAACAAAATCACAACAATCAAAGTCAAACAAAACACAAAAATTCTATAGTCTAAAAATATTCCACTTCTAATCATAGGATTAGAATGAAATAAACCCAACAATTAACCTCCCAAGCCTAAAGTCTGAGAGAATATGGATATCTACAAGAAAAGTTAAAACATTTAATTTCAATGCTTAAAACTGAAATTTAATTTGTTTCAATGCTTTAATTGTACTGCCATTTTTAAAATTGTTTTTGTCTACTTGACAAAGACAGCAGAGCCTTTTGTATTTTATTATTGCTGCAAAACTGGGTAATTTTAAAAAGCTGAAATTCACTTGGATCATGGTGGGATAGAAATGGAATAAATAATTCACTTGAAATATGAATGTTTTGATGCTTTTGAATACATGTGTAGATGGTGTTAGGAAATGAACAATAAATAAACTATCCTTAAATTCTCAAATTTCTATGCCGCACAGTCATTGCTTAGATTCTGGTCTATTATCAGTTATGTGTCCACATATTTTCAGTCAGTACAGTATGAAAGGAAGAAAAGGAGTCCCTGTGGATTTTACTCTGCTAGTCATTGTCAATTATAGGGAGCAGCGCTTATCTCCAATTGATGTGAGACAGCGCTGTCGGAAGACGTTTCTGTGGTCATGTGGCCAGCATGATGTCATGGGGGGCTGTTTCCTCCCCACTAAAGTGGTACCTATTTTATCTACCCACATTTGCATACTTTCAAACTGCTAGATGAGCAGGAGCTAGGTGAAGATGTACCCTTACCCCATTGTGCAACACCCAAGTCTGCCCCGACAGGCCCAGCATCTTAACTTCTGAGCCATTGCACTGCCAGCCCAGATTCCTTCATTATTTATTACTTTTACAAGAGGGCTCTTGCTGCAGAGTCAGGTTTAAAACTTTGTTTTAAGAAACTGCCAAATCAAAAAGAACTTCAAAAGTTCACTTAATTATGTGGGCTAGGAATGTATTAAACTGTGATGTTAACCCAGTCTCCCAAATAAGCCCATGAAAGTTTAAAACTAAGCATTTGTATGATTTTTCCTAATCCTTTATGAAAAGATAATATTCCTTTTTCTCTCAATTCATTTATTTTCAACTATACAAAGATTAATCTTTAGTAGAGGACTTTTACTCAATACAGGCAACTAAGCAGTCATAAGGAACAGCTTCTAATGGTTTTCAGATATTTTATGTATTCTTGGTTTACTATAAAAAGTTGCATTCTTGCAACTCAGCCATTCTCACTCAAATGGTAATAATTTCTTTCTTTCTTTCTTTTTCTTTCATTCATTCATTCAATATTCAATTTCTATAGCTACCCATCTCAGTCAATGACTCTAGGCTGCTTGCGATTCAAAACACATTACAAGTAAAAATACTAAAAATATTTTAGAACTGTAAAACATGCTAAACAAACTACAAAAACATACAATGGTCTGTTTACAAAGATGTATGAAGCAGAAGAGGTTCCCTACTGAAAACCAAACTCAGAAGGCCTCACAATTTGGTAAAAATAAATCAGAGATCCCAGCTCACCTATTAGCAAACTAAAGAAGAAGCTTCTATATTTGTTTAACCTTTTTTTTTTTGTAGTAAGAATTAATTCATAGTAAGCCAGAAAATTTTCATAGTCTTGGGCATGTGGGGAGATACAAAATTTCAGTTTCCTATAGCTTTTCAACAGTGTCCATATTTTCCTTCAGTAGCTGCCTATTAGGAGAATTTCTAAAATGTGTTTTGCATTTTTTGCATTATTGCTTTCTAAAAAATAATGTAGCTGTCACTTTTTTTTTTCATTTTAATAGATTGCTGAAGCTGGAAAAGAATCTTTGCCTTCTTGGTTGCACTGGGAACCTGAGAGCAGAACCTTGGAAGGTCTCCCGCTTGAAACAGATAAAGGCATTCATTATATCTCAGTGACTGCAGTGCATCTGGTATCTAATGGAAGCTATGTGCCCCAAACCACCAATGTCTTTTCAATCGAAGTGCATCCTGAAGATCATAATGAACCTCAGTCAGTACGGGTGGCTTTACAAGATGTGAATGAAGCATCGCCGTTTGTGTGTAGCGCTGAGGAACCAGTCACCATCTTGACTGTAATTTTGGATGCTGACTTAACAAAAATGACACCAAAGCAGAGGATTGAACTTTTGAACAGAATGAAAACCTTCTCAGAAGTGGAACTTTATAACATGAAATTAGTTCCTGTTGTAAATAATAGACTCTTTGACATGTCAGCCTTCATGGCTGGACCAGGGAATGCTAAGAAGGTGGTGGAAAATGGAGCCTTGCTATCATGGAAACTGGGTTGTTCTCTGAGTCAAAACAGTGTTCCCAACATAAGTAATGTTGAATCTCCAGCTAAGGAAGGCACAATGTCTGCTCATCTTGGTTACCCTGTGGTTGGTTGGCACATTGCAAACAAGAAACCTAATCTTCCAAAGAGAATAAGACGGCAGATTAATGCTACACCAACGCCTGTGACTGCTGTTGGACCTCCAACATCTGCTCCCCAAGAACCACCAAGTAGAATTGTTCCAACACCAACTTCTCCAGCTATTGCACCTCCTACTGAAACAACAGCACCTCCAGTAAGAGAGCCTATACCATTGCCTAAGAAACCCACAGTTACTATTAGAACAAGAGGTCCTATTATTCAGACCCCAACTCTTGTCCCAGCTCAGCCAACCAGAACAGTAGAAGTAGGTACTATTACTTCTGGCCAGATTCGACCAACAATGCCTGGGCAGGGAGAAGCTACTGCCGTTGTTACACCTCCCACAACAAAGAAACCCAAAGGAACAACTCCAAAAGTATCAACACCCTCAACAACTGATACAGGAACAACACGAAGACCAAGACCTTCAAAAACTCCTCGACCTCCAAAGCCTCCTCGGACTACTAAACCAAGCCTTGTTGAAAAAACAGTTTCACCACCAACTCGTTTGCGCACTACTGCAGTTGGACTTCCCCGTGTGCCCAATGATCCACCGGTGTTGAAAAACCATATTGACAGGGTAGATGCATGGGTAGGCACATACTTTGAGCTCAAAATACCTTCTGACACTTTCTATGACAAAGAAGATACTACCACTGATAAACTACAACTGACCATGAAACTGGAAAATGAGAAAGCATTGGAAGAAAGCTCCTGGGTGCAGTTCAATAGCACTAGTCAACTAATGTATGGATTACCTAATCACACCCATGAAGGCAGGCATGAGTTTTTTATGCATGCTACAGACAAAGGTGGCCTTTCAGCGGTGGATGCTTTTGAAATATTTGTCCACACTCTTGAAGATGATGAGATACCTCCAGTTAAGTTTAAGGCCAGATTCCATGGAGACCATAATACAGTAGCCAATGACATAAATAAAAAAATTGTGTTGGTGAAGAAGTTGGCATTTGCTCTTGGTGATAGAAACAGTAGTACTATTACCTTAGAGAATATTGGCAAAGGTTCTATTTTAGTTGAATGGACAAATAATACTCTGCCTTTGGATCCATGCCCCAAAGAAAAGATTCTCATCTTGAGTAGAAAAATTTCTGATGAATCTGGAGTTCCAAGCACAGTTTTTTCAAATACTCTAGAACCAGAATTTAAGCCCATCGATATTTCTGTAGTTGGTGCTGGTAGCTGCAAACATATTCAGTTTATTCCTGTGACTAAAGATGGGTTCCCTACAACTGTACGTCCCACAGAAATTGTTCAGCGAGCTCCGGAAAAGACAAGTGAAGACGATGTTTACCTGCACACCGTAATTCCTGCAGTAGTGGTGGCAGCCATTTTGCTTATAGCTGGCATTATTGCTATGATTTGTTATCGCAAAAAGAGAAAAGGCAAGCTCACTATAGAAGACCAGGCCACCTTTATCAAGAAAGGAGTACCAATAATCTTTGCAGATGAGCTGGATGACTCCAAGCCTCCTCCTTCCTCGAGCATGCCATTGATTCTGCAGGAAGAAAAGGCTCCTCTCCCTCCCCCTGAGTATCCAAATCAAAACATGCCAGAAACAACCCCACTGAACCAGGATGTGATAGGAGAGTATACACCTTTGTGGGATGAAGACCCTAACGCCCCTCCCTATCAGCCTCCCCCTCCTTTCACAACACCCATGGAGGGTAAAGGTTCCCGCCCGAAGAACATGACCCCATACAGGTCTCCACCTCCCTATGTCCCTCCTTAATGAACCAGAGACACCCACGGAGATGGAGCATTGAGTTCCACACCAGTGTTATCTATCGGGATCAGTGGCCTGCAGATCTGTTACCAACCAGAAAACCAACATTCAGAATCTCAAATATTGCCTGATCCCAGCGGGCCCCTCTCCGAGTGCATTTGCAAAACCAGAGTGCTTGTGGAACTTTTGGAACACTGGTTTTATTTTTGCCTAACAGCTTATGTTTTGTTTATTCATAGAGAGAGAAAAAAAACCTTCTTGGCTCAAAATATTTCTGACAGCAGGCGTCTCAAAGCATTTTGTGCAAAGGGAGACTGGACACACAGGCAGCACTAGGGGTGGCACACTGGGTCGGTCTCTGCTGTTTGCCTTTAAAACTAACTGTACTGTCTTTTCTATTCACGTGTGTCTAGCTACAGGGCATAACATGAAACATAGCCTAAGAATTAAATTCAAAGGACTTTATGAAACCAATATTAAGTTTTTACACTTAATTACTGTTACCGAAACGTATCTGTATAGATTTGAGAAAGGAGGGAAGTGCTTTACTACAAATAGGCTCAAAGGGTGTTTCCAAGGCCAATCAGGCTGAGGAACCATCTTTTTTTATCAAAGGAATCCTATTTTTTCACATATTATACAGTTCAGTCATCACTTGGGGTCCTTTCTGCAAACTGTAGCGCTCTTGTTTCTCTAGCCTGCTGTTGCTTGACAGATGGCACAAATATCTTTAACAATGGAGCTTGAAGTACCTTTGCCATTATCAAAAAGCAGAATTATGGAGTAATGTTGCTGCCTTTTGGGAAGTGGAGGCCCGACAGTGGTATCTGTAGACTGCAAAGGGTCATGGTGCTGCACTGAGATTTTTCCATCTGGAAGGTATACTTTGGCTTTTGAAACACTCTTGAGGTATTTTGGTGAAGATGCAATATTTTTACGGGGTGTAATGCGGTTTCCTTATATGAACGCCTTTTGGGCCCACAGTATTGGAACAGCCCCTTGTCCCCCACCCACCCACCCACCCACCGTTCTGGTTGTCCCAGCTCACTCCCTCCCTGTTTTCTATTGCATACAGATGCAGTAGAGCAGGCCTGACGTATGGCAAAAGTAATAACAGATGCCAGAAGCAGTTCTTAATAAACATCAATGAACTCTCAGCTCTAATTTTTTTACTAAATTTTTGATACAGCGTCAAATTTTATTAATTATAAAAAATAATTAATAGTGGTAATGCTGCCAGCAGTTTGTATGAGCTTAGCTTCTTAGTATCAATTCACTGGGTCTGATGCTATGCTCATGTTGCTTTTTTTTCCCCTTTTTTCCTTTTTCCTTTTTTTCCTTTTTTTTTTTTTTTGGTCTTTCATAGTCATTGTTTTAAATATTAGAGCCATGTCTCGGTTTCTTGCCTTTAAAAAAAAACACTGAACTTCCTTCTGGGAAGTTGGAGCTACTCCCAGTCTTGCTCCCAGCTTTTTTTCTTTAGACAAAATCATTTTACGCATGGATATATATATTTTTTTGTCCTTCGAAACTATTTTGGGTACACGAGAGGGAGGAGAAACCTTTTGCAATAATGAGTCCATCCCCTGGCTGGGGGCTGGGCAGCCTCTGGCTGACTTTGCACACAAAGCAGACACTTCTAAGCCATATTGACTGTTTTGCAAAGTATTTTTTGTGTGCTGACATGGCCAGTTAACATGCTAGTGGATGAATGGCTAAAATGACCTTCACCTCTGAACTTGTTACGGTGGTATTTTTCATCAAACCTCTCTTGAAATATGCGAACAGAATTTAAAACCTGAAAATAAATGTTAATTTTGCTCTCCCCCATAGACCTGTGTCTCCACTCCGAGAGGCCGAGATGTGTTGAAGTGAGGGTGACAGTATAGATTTGCCCTAGAAAGTTTCTTTAAGTGCCCCCTCCCCCGCCCAATCCCTGATGCTTGAATATTGTCCTGTGCTTGCTCTAAAATAAAGGCAGGCTCTGGAACACTTTTTCCCACCCAAAAGAGGTCAAGGTAGATCATTAAGTGGCGTCAGGTAAGGCAAAGTGCATTTGGACAGATGCACTTTGGAAGTAAGTTAGTAAGCTGCTCCTCCCTGCTCCCCGAGTTACCAGTTTGATGCCAACATCTTTACTGGCTGGCCCACATTTCAAGATGTCCCCCACTTTTATCAACACACACAGCCTCCTAAGCCTAAATGCTGCAAGCTTGAAGGGCCTTCCAAACAGTGCCGTTGTCCCTAGCAACTGATACCACTTTATTACTGGTCATGCGCAAGCGCAAACAATTTCAGGCCTGGGCCTACCTGTCACCATAGAAACTGGAGGCGAAGGGGCAGTGAACAGAATAATAACAATGGCATTCTCATCAGCTGGTTTCCCCTAAGCACCAGTGCTGTTTGTTTATGCCACTAGACACTGTAATGGTGGGAGAAAATCTTGTATTAAAAAGTGTTCACCAACCACTGATGTGTTTTTATGTCCTTATATAATTATTTTAAAATGTGTTTTCTGCATTATGTAAAGAAACATATCAACTAAATAAACCAGTGTACTTTACTATAAACTCAGAAGTTATAGAGCTCTTCCATTGGATCCACAGGATTCTCAGCACACAATAGTTGAAAAATATCCGATAGAGGTGTTGCATAAAATTCAGCAGAATGATCCCAGATTGTTTGAGTGCTCTGTTGAACAGTGATGGCTGTGAGAGAATGTTGTGGTATTCTTTAAGGAATTCCAGGTATTTTTAGTGTTGATTTCAAAAGCCTTCTAAAGGTGGGGCTGGTAGAGACTGAGAGTTTCAGCCAACACACGTAGTTACCATGAGATGGGGAATAGCTTAACAAATTTTGCAGCTGCCTTAAATCTTCAGCGAGTGCAGGAAATTTAAGGATCAAAGGTGATAAGGAGAATACAATAACAAAACTTTAAATTATATTAAGGAAAGTAAGGACTCTTCAGACACAATTGTAAATCATGTCATAGAATCATAGAGTTGCACAGGACCTTGGAAGAAACAACGTAAAAGAATTTTAAAAAATTAGAGGCCATGAACATGCTTTAGTTCTGCCTGCTCCTTCCACCTTTTGACCAATGAGAAATTTAGTACTCCTAAAGTTTCCATGCTATTCTTTAAATTCAAATTCTCAGTAAAGGAGCTGCCACAGCAGAGATTTCTGGAATATTTTCTGAATGGTTGGGATCCTAGGGTGGGATTCTCCATGTTAATTACAAATATCAGATTTTTAGTATTATCAATGTACACTGTCCATGAAAATGCTCCACAAGCATGATTCATCCTCCTAACACTCAAGGTAACATCAAAGACCCGTTTTAAATATGAAAAGCATTATAGCATAATTAAATCTTTATTTTTAAAATTCTGTGACAGTTTCCCAATCAGTCTCGCAATACCTTGCTCCCTCCATCCAGTAGCAGCCCCTTGCATGCCTACTAGGAAGGGAAGGAGAGAGGAAGAAAAAAAAAGAAGGAAGGTAGATTTCCGATGTTTTCTGCCACATTCTCACAAGAAAGAAATTGCTTCCGCACATGCACACACACACACCCCACTGCCCTTGGTGATTTTCTTTCTGTGTTTGGGTAAGGAAATATCTCTAAAGCAATAACCCAACAATCAAGGACTATGACTCCTACTATTCTCTAGGTTTCCTCAAACACCAGTTCTACCATTGTTATGGTGTGAGATTCCTCAACCAGCAAGAATAGATTGGGGAGGGGGGACAGGAGCTCATGGAATCAGTTTAGGTGATCTCTTCCTCTCTTTAGGAGGCACTGGAGATAATTTTGATTCAGTAAGAACAATTTATCAAAGAAAATTATATTCACTTTGCTACATTGACGATTCTGTGAAAGTTGCTGGCCCTTTCAAAAGCTGTATCTCTAACGCAGAGTAGGCTGTTTTTAATAGATGGTTGTAATTTCACTTTCATTAGGGGAGTATGCTTTTCCTCTGTGACTAGAAACAAGTTTTATTGTTCATTTGGAGATTGTAGGTCAGAGGGATGACAGAAAGATTATAAAATTGAACCTTGACCATACTTTACATATCTCTGATATATCTTCACTGATTCCAGATTTAATATTTTCTTTAACTAGTTATGCATTCAGATTAATTCTATGCTGTAATACTTTTGCATAGGCTTCAAAATTGATAAATATCTAATTGGGGGATAATCCTATATGCATTCATAATTCATGTATTTATATTTGCTTTAGTCAGGAAGACTAAAGTTCATATTAACATTCTTTCGGTATCCCTAAGGCACAATTCTATGCTTACTTAGCACACCGGAAGCCCCATTTAATGCAGGCAAACTAATTTCTAAGTAAATAGGAACATGATTACACCTTCTGTTTATCTCACTTTTAAAGGAGTAAGAATATATTTTGTATTCTTTTTTAACTATTGGTTTCCCCCTCTATAAGACAAAAAGTCCTCGAGAAACAATTCATTTGTTTAGTAAACAAAAGTTACAAAGGCATTGAAAAAAGTGACATGATCATTTCTCACAGTTATGACCATTGCAGCATCCCCATGGTCACCTGATGAAAATTCAAATGCGTGGCAATTAGCATATATATATGGCAGTTGAAGAGCCCCAAGGTCACCTAATGAATTCTTGCAACTTTCTGACAAGCAAAGTCAATGGGAAGCCAGGTTCATTTAACAACCGTATTATTAACGACTGCAATGATACAACTGGGAAGAAAAATGGTAAAATGTCGCAAAATTCACTTTGTTGCTTAACAGTGGAAATTTTAGACTCGACTGTGGTCATAAGTAGAGGACTACCTATATTGTGAAAAAGCTTGACAGGGCCTCCAGCTCTTTAATTCAAAAGTTCCTGCATATATCCAAATATGGGTAGACATATAGGGTCCAAATCATGTAATCAGATTATCTTTTAATGGAATATATTGCCTTTCCACAATAATCCAATTTTTTTCTGAAATATTTCATTTTAAAAACTTGGGTAGCAATAAAATGAAGTATTAATACCCCTTTAGCCATGAACTCAAAATAAATTTTAAGAGGTGGGAGGAAAGGTAGGTAAGAAAAGAATTGACTTGAAATTCTCAAACTAAGAGTATCTTAAAGTCTATCATTGGGGAATCCCAGCATCTTCCCTATATGTCTGACAGTGCCTAATACTGAAAGTATAAATGAATTTTGCATAAAAAGGAACTAAGGCCCCTGCCAAGATATCGGAAAGACCTTTATTGTTGGTCCTGAACTGCAAAGATTTCGTAAATTATATCGTTTGGATTACAGGTATGCCCAGTGATAAATGTCCCTTCTCTCCCATCATATGGAAGCTATACTTCAGATATAGTAAATAGGGAAAGAGCATGTTTAATAATCTTGTCAACCTGTTTAAAATACCCTAAAGGGGTTAATATAATTCATCCAAATATTTACGTATATGAATGATGAAGCAATAT